GTTAAGCAGCTATACCGCCATTATGATTTTTCAGATTTATTGCTTAACTGATAGAACCAATCTACCATCCGCTACATTTATTAATGAATTTTGAAAAATATACATAAAAAAAAATGTGAAAGGTTTCAGATTTTAAATTACATCCAAAGGGCCGTTTTTTAACGTTTTGTGTGTTACCTTTATTTATTAAATACCATGTTCTTTGCACTTAAAATAATAAAATTCAGTTCAACAGCAATGTTGCAAAATAATTTTAAAATGAGCATATCTTTAGAATTTCCAATACACAGTTCCATGCACTGGAGATAAAAAGTCCCCCCCCCCCCGTACAGTGTTGCCATTGCTCACTTTTAAATCATCAAGTTTGTTAATCAAAAATTTGTTAATTAAATTAAATTAAAAAGTTTTACAAAATATGAAATTGATAATAAAAAAATTCCAAATTTCAAATTTGGGCTTTCAGATGCCCATATTCGCAGCAGGATTACGTCATTCAAAATTGGATGGCTCTATTTACCGTTGTTTTATCACAATGCGAGAAACATACATACATTCATGCTAATAATTCTTTCTAAGGTTTATAGTTGAAAACACTTGTTCACTTATATAAGATGAAGCAAATATAGCACTGATTTTCTGGGCATGAGATATTAAGTTTGGGAAACTTACTTTCGATAATGATTTGTAAAACTCTAACTTAGGCATATTTAGAAACAACTGCTGAGATGATTGTTAGACTGCAACTCAATTAATTCAAGCTGCAAGTATGACCTCCCTGCTTCACAATTTACGTTGAAAGGCATGGTAAAAATATACAGTTATGTTTGAATGGCACTGAGCTCGAACTCAAAATGCAGTTTTTTTCAAGCCATCTTCATAATTCTTAAGCTTCTCTTCATTTACTGAGGGTACTGAATTTAACCTCGGGAAATGAGACAAGTCGTTCTTAGCTAACTGCCCAGCAAACAGATTAAGTTTTTTTTAAGAGGTCAAATTCACATATGTCTGCTCCAGAAAGAGATAATGCTTGTTGGCACAAATCTACAGCTATAACTAACAGAGAACTTCCACTTTTAACACTTTACGATTGAAAGTTGTCTGTGCTTGCTATTTCCATCGATTTATGTTTTGTAGAACAAAAATAGAGAAAGTAAAACGATCACAGCTCCTTTGAAAAAAAGGAAGGCAAAAAAATATTTAAACAAATAAGAAAAGGAGATGGATATATAATATACAAATACTATACTTCTTTTTAATTTGCATCGGACCGGCAAATTAAAATTCTATGCGCGGGCCGGATAGAAACTTTTGGCGGGTCGTAGCTTGCCAATTCCTGATCTACACTATCTATAGATCGCCTAAAACATGTATACATACTAGCAGACTCTTGAGAAAAAAATTATATAAATAACAACAAAGAGTTTGAAACTGAAACTAGAAAAAAAAAAAAAAAAAAAAAAAAAAAACTACTCCTAATTTTCACTAAGTCTGGCAGAAATGCAAAAATTGTACAACCATGCCTAGCTTCTTAGATCATCCTCTAGATTGGAAGAGGACAACTGTGGCAAAGATTAAGTTTCATTAAAAGTTACCATAGTAACAATAAGCTTTAAATGACAAAATGTTTTATACTTTATTTTCGAGATAAAAATCTTCATAATATGTTTGCTTTCCGTACACTGAATACTTTCAATGGTACAGTTCTGTTATCAGGACCAGGTCTCCGGAAATGCTTGTATGTATAGATGTATATGTTCATGTGTGCATGTATATATGTATGTACATATGTATCTATGTGTGTACACACATATATGTGCACATACATACACATGTGCATATATACTCATACTTCTGAATCCGGTCTTGATCACAGATGAGTACCTTTGCAATTTGTTAACAAATCAATATATAATATAAATATGTTTCTAAACACTAATCGAGTCCTAGATTGGAGAACCGAGTCAATCAAACTTTAAGTTATTTAGAATAGCTATTCCAAACAACTTAGGACTTGATTTAAATACAATGAGTGTTTGGAATAATTCTAAACAACTTGGGACTCTATTTATATATAAAGAATGTTAGACTTCAAAATACAAAGAGCATTTGGAATACCGATTCTAAACACTCTTTGTATTTTGAAAAAGAAGTTAAAATATCAAACTATTGCTACAATTACTTTTACATCTAAGACATGCTTACTAATAGTTTTGCACTCCGTAGTCCATACCACACTTTCAATATTTAGGTAAATTTCATGGTGCATATTAAATAACTTCTAAAAAATAGTATTCTGTTGCTTATATGCTTAGAAATGATGGCAAGCACCAGCCCTTCTCTTGCAAAGGTTCCAGTTGTTATGAACCTGTTGTGATGTCATTCTTATTCATAACTGAGAATAAATTGCACCATCTGGTGATACTGTCATAAATGGTTGATAGCAAAATACATAAGCACTTTTTTCAATTGATCGAATTTGTGAAGAAATACAGGGAAGTGGTAATAAATGAAGGTGATACAGTCAAATACCGAAAATCTTCCGACATGAAATCCGCGAACTCCTGAAACCCATGTTGCCTCTAAAAATATAAACATTCAGTTTATAAGTTCCGGAAACCGCAACATTGAGTACGAAATATCGAAGAAAAATACTTACCGAATAATGACATCATAATTACTGAATAATAATGAGTCATAACAGAAATACCAAATTATTGACATAAAAAAAGTTTAAAAAATAAGATAAAAGTTTTTCTCCCTCTAATCTGCATCGAGGTAAAAAAGCAGACGATTCACTCAACTCTTTGTTCATGTTCCTGTTTCCGAGCTTTGTTATTTCACGGGATTGTTTAGTGCTGCCATTTTTTATTATATCTGGATATTTTGTGGATAAATTAAAAATATTTTTAATTTCAGACCTTTTTAATACAAAGACAGATAAGAAACGCGCTCATGATTTTACTGCTTGCAATGTTGAAAACATAAGCACTTTGAATTTACGGTAACACAAAAAGTGCAAATTCTGAAAAAGATGGAGGCAGGTGCTATTCCTCGATTTATAGCAGAAAGGTACGGAACTGCGACATGATTGGGTATGATATACGGAAAAATAAAGAAAAGCTGTTGAAATTTTACAGCAACAGTGATTCTAACACCGGAATCGGAAACCGGAAATCTTTGCATGAGGCAAACCTTGATGCTGTGTACATATAATACAATGAATAATATAATCAATTTATATATGTAGTAATAATTTAATGCATATAATAAATTATTGTAATAATGTATGTAATAATTTAATTAAATGTATCTATTATTTTGCACTTTTATTTTGTACCTTATTTATTTTGCACTTTTAGTCCGAATATTATGCTTTATCTTTTCTGTCCTGAAATCTGCAAAATCCTAAAATCTGCACAACTTCTGGTCCCAAGCTTTGTGGATTTCTGGACTTCTACTGTATAACAATTCCTCCATTGCAAGGAAAAATGCCTCAAGTATCAGTCAATTAATATATGGCGAAATCTGCAGTACGAATTTAAATCAAGAAAACGTTGCAATCAATAGTTAAGCAAGTGACAAAGAAGTTGTTGAGAATAAAAGGATTCCGTTAGTGGAATGAGTTTTTAAGGTTTAGTGGGAATTCTTGACAGTTTAGTGAGAATCCTCTACAAGGTAGTTTCACGGAATGAACAACGGAACTTCGTAACTGAACAAGAAATTATGAAAAGAAAGTATTAGCACAAAAAACAAATGGCTTAAATAACTTATAAGTGAAAGCAATATTTCGTAAAACAAATAAACATTTAGCTTTTATATTGGGTCAGTCCACAAACTTGTGTGCACGTTTTGGTAAAATTTAAAATAATATAAAAAAAAATACAATTTAACATTTTAATCAATTATATATTTTCCTTCATTATCTACAATGTCTCGCCATCTTACATGCAGCTTTTTTATGCCATTGCTGTAAAAAGACTCTAGTTTTGATACAAAAACAACTTGAAAGTTCATTGTGTACATCCTGTTTAGAACTTAATTTTCTTCCCAGTAAAATATTTTGTAAGGCACGAAATAAGTGAAAATTACTTGGGGCAATATCTGGGGAGTAAGCAGGATTTTGCAAAAGCTCCCATTTAAATTCACTAATTTTTTGCAGGGTTGTTCGACCAGTATGTGGTCTAGCATCACCATGACAAAAAAACACTTTCTTGATATTTACCAATCGTGGGCATTTTTTGATCAATTCCAAGTTTAGACGGCAAAGTTGTTCACTATAAATTTCTGAATTAATTGCTTGATTTGGTTCTAACAGTTCAAAACGTCCTGAACAGGGTTCATCATCAATGCTGCTTTTTCCAACTTTAAATTTTTTAAACCATTTTACCATTTCTGAGCAGTCCTTACACTAATAGTGTGTTCACCATGTACACTATTAATTTTTATAGATGCAAACCTGGCAGATTCACCATACGAAAATAAAAAATGTAGCACAGCATGTTTGTACTAATTATCTATATTCATCCTCTTTGGGTACTAAAATGTGTTCGATATTTATGACAATTGGTGATGAACTGAATAATATATTAGTCAAACAATAACAAGCTTCAATAGGTTCGAAATTGTATTGTTTTAGTAAATGCATCATAGTGAATTCCACGCATACTCTTAATGGGCACGAACTTATGGACTGACCCGATATATATATATATATGTATATAATGTTGCATGATCTTAAAATTTCGGAATTAAACTTCCTACCTCTGGGTTCAATCTTTTTAGATATCTCTAAAATTAATATTAGGAGATAATAATCATATTCTTTAGCAAATAAATTATATATATATACATATATATATATATATATACACATACACACACACTACCCAACACTGAAAATGCAACACCAAAAAGTAGTGGCCAGAAAATTATGAAACCTGGCAAATAGAGAGCGACAGCAACAAACACTAAGTGATCTTTATTTCAAAATTATATGCACAATACAGAATGAGAACAGCATCAGCTCAGTAGGTTGGATGACCACCTTGGACGGCGAAACACGTAGCAACATGTCTAGGCACAGAGTAAATAAGATTACGGATGGTATCCTGAGGGATGGCTTTCCATTTCTTGTCAACCATTTGCCACAGTTTGTCTTCTGAAGGCAGCAATGGCAGGGGTCTGCAAATGGTGTCCAATCACATTCCTGGACGCATCTACAGACCCAAATGTGTTCAATTAGTGAGATATCATGAAAGAATGGTGGCCATAGAAGCACCTGTACATCCTGCAGAACAAATTATCTATTGCGTGCACTTTGTGGTCGAGTGTTATCGTGCTGATAAAGGGCGTTGGACGTTCCCTGATGGTAATGGAGTGTCACGCACATCATCCACATATCATTGGGCTGTCATAGACTAGAGGTGATCTGGAATGGTATGCAATTGTGCCTCAAACCAGATGCGATGTTGTTGCGTGGTGGGCCATTCCACAACTGCTGCCAGATTGGACCTGTCTCCACATCAATGCCACACTTATATATAGAGACTACCATTGCAGAAACAGAAGCGTGACTCATCTGAGAACACGACCCTATGCAATTCTGTTGTCCACATCGCTTGAGCCCGGCACCATTGCAGATGTTGCCATCTATGATTGATAATTCATAATTAAATAAATTAATAAATAATACATGGAATAATAATACATGAACTATAATAATGACATGGGGTCAATGGCAGTCTTCTTAATGGATACTACGAGTGCAGGCCACTAGCCACCAATTGATGGCAAATGGTTCTGGTAAATATAGGAATATCCAGGGTGTCTTGAACATACTGCAGAATGGAGGTAGAAGTGGCTTGTGGGTGCACCACCGCCAGCTGAGATTTGCTGCATGGACCAAGCTGCCCTTCTCAGTCAGATCACCATGCTGCTTGTAAAATCTGCTCAAACTGCCTCTATTGATGACGGCCTGGCATTTTCTGCTATTACATGTGTCCTTTGTGACAAGAACAAATTTTCAATGATTTCCCTAGCAGAAATAATGGCATGAAAATTGAACATTCTGCAGGTTCCTTCCCTTATATCTTGTTCAACGTTCACTGGAGAGCTGCACATTTCACACCATTAGCATAACTCGGTAACGGCATCTACACTGAAATTTGCATAATTTTTAGGCCACTCCTTGGTGTTGCATTTTCAATGCCGGGAAGTGTATAAAATTTAATTCCATGATTACAAATGCTTCATAACAAATATTTCATAATTTTTTTTTTTTTTTTTTAAATTTCTATACGTCATCTTAGTATATTTTAACTGATGATCTAAAATCCAAAATTGCTGAAGTCCCAATGGTTCCAGATCTCAGACTTTATACCATATAACATTAATATCTCATTCTGTTACAACTAAAAAATACAAAGCAGTAATGTAATTGTAAAACATAAAGTGTTTGGTTCAATTTATGGAGATATTTCAGTCAGTCTTTAACTACACGTAGGTAACAGATAGATGCTTTTTATTTAATAAACTTTTGTACATAGGTATGGAATTAAATACCTGAAAACTAGAAATGATCAGATGCATTTAAAGGTAAGTTTCTCATTCAAGGACAAGACATCAAGTTACCTATATCATACTAATTACAAAATTAAAGTCAAACGTAACAAATTACTCATACAATTGAGTACAGAACCCTTTCATTACTAAAGTGCATTTCAAAATGTTTTCTAAAATTATAATTTATATTCTTGGAAATTCATAAATAATACCACAGCAGAATTAGTAACATGACAAAAATATTTGATTACAAATTTATGAGTGTTCACAGATAGAAAGCAAATTATAAATAAACAAACATTATATATTGAGAACACAATATTTTTAATTCTTACTTTTTTCCCAAAGCCATGATACCATATAAGCATCCTGTTACGAAGATCAAACCAGACCCAAAAAATGTTGATATTCCAGCACAAAGTGATATTGGCAATACTGATATTCTGAAGAAAAATAAATAAAGGGATTGTCAGATTTTGTTGTTCATCACATACACGACAGAAATTTGATTATACAAAATTCAATATTTTAAAATAAATGTTCCTCACAGGAAAATTTTATTAAAAATTTATTACTTCAGAACAAATCAAATGGTATTTTCAATGGAACTAAAATTATTTTTCTTTCATCTTCTTGATATCCTAAACTCATATTATAACCAAAGCATCAATGTCATGCCTTAAACCTTCACAGAATCCTGAAATATAATGCAATTGGTACTCCTGGAATTTCCCAAGTCATTCAGTCATTTCCATCAAAAATTGGTCCTTGTTTTTCTCAATATTTAAAAATCTACACCAAAGAAAACTGCATTTGCTTTAGAAATGCAGTTTGTATTTAGAATAAAGTAAAACTGAACTGGTGATTTTCTACATCATATGTTTTAAAGCAATACAGCGACAATCTTGACTTATAAATGAAACATCTTACAACTTTCCTATTTGGAAGGATAATTCATAATTAAATAATTTAATCATTAATTTGGGAACTGTTTTCTTGATTAACAAGTAAACAAACCCTCAGATTGTAAGCAGTTTGTTGGTACAGCCTTTTTGCTCTAGTGTTTAGCTCTCTGCTTATGTGGTTACTTATACAGAGTATCCCTCTTACTTTAATGATTCAATTTCCCAAATCTGCATTTACACTTACGTTTATGCCCCATTGCATATTCAGGTGATGACCATATAACTAAGAGGAATATGATAATAACAAAATAACATGAACATAACAAAATATTCAGAGAAACTGACAATATTATTTATTGGAAATGTATTAGAATCAAACCAACCATCAAAGTAACTATAAAGTATGCAAAATAGTATAATATGGGACATAATGCGAATCAAGGTTCTAGAAGCTTAGGATGTCCATTCTATAAGAGAGAATTAAATTAACTAAAAAACTGAACCAATTATGAATAATAGTACCGAAATGCAAATAAATGTTCAGCACTCGAAGTGCAACTGATAATTTAAAAGCAATGTTAGAAAAAAACCAGATGAATAAAAACAGCATATGTGCAGGAAGCATACATAGTGAAGAATAAAACGTATGGACTTCCACTCAGATTTAGTAAGCATTACTATGAGGTAGAAGTTAAAGCAGCAATCTTCATAGCAGATAACATCCTTCCAGTACCCCATGTGCTAAGCACCCCTAATGTAGTTGCACTATGAATAGAACAGAACGCTTTGTTTCAGATAATTTCAATGTACTATCCTCCATCCGCGAACCATGTCCCAATATTAAACACCCCAGAGAAACTCATGAGAGAAAATGAAGATCTCACTACTATCATTTATGGAGATTTTAATGCAATATGAAGCCCAACTCCACCAGACCCAAGGGGTATCAAAGTCTGTCAATTCCTAGCAGCAACAGTTTTCACAGTAATAAACACAGGAGCCAAAGATACTCGTCAGTAGACCTCACACTCTACAGAAAAATAGGAGATATCAATCTACAAAACTGGCAGATCACTGATGATGACAACTCAAGTGATCACAATAGCATTTTCTTTGAATGAAGTAAATGCTGATATCAAAATCAGAGGAACTTAAGAATTAATATAAAAGCCATGGATTGGCTAAGTTTTAAACAAAAAATCTCAGATGGGTATAAGAAGATGACAAACATTAAAAATACGGAAGGTACAGACCTATATATAGGGTAAGCGACGACTCTGCTCCAAATAGCATTTAAAGAGACATGCAGAAGTAAGAACAGCAGCAAAAAGGCGCACAATCCATCATAATGGAGAGCAGACTTATGGAATGTAAGGGAAAAAATCCAGGCACTAAGAAAAAGCCACCAGGAAATGAGCGAAGAAGAAAGAAAGGGGTATACAATCCATTACAGAATAGAAGCAGCAAGGCAAATTTACAAATCAAAGAGAAAATACTGGAACGAGTTCTGGAAAGAAACATGATCAACTCCCCATTCAGAACCTGTTTTGACTTAGTCAAAGGTAAAAATATGGGTCTGCTCCAACTAAGCACAATTCAGACCAAAGATGGGACTTTCATGAAAATGGCAGACGGATAATCACCAACCACTTTTTTCAGGACAATATCAATGAAGAGGAAGAAGCTAAGAAGCAGAGATGCCCCCAGGGCCAAGTGATAAACACCTCTTCTCAGTGGCAGAAGCTCAGAAAACAAACTTCAGTAAAGAAAGAAAACGCCTGAGGTTTAGATAATTTGACAACAGGGGCACTAGATGAGCTAAGAACGGCCAATGAAGAAAGATTCTTAGATTTATTAAACAGCTGCTTCAAGCAGGACTACTTTCAGGATGCCTAGAAAAATGCTATACTGGTATTGTGTCATGAAAACATGAAAGACAGATACAAGCCAGGTTCATATTGGCCAATTTGCCTGCTTTCAGCATGGGGTAAACTAATTACTCAGAGATTAACGTACCATCTAGAGAAATCTCTTGAGTGACAGCCAGCATGGCTTCCAAAACGGAACAAAGTACCATAGATGCACTGAATAATCTACAAGATATAGTCTTACAAAACAGATAAGAAAAGCTACATATGTGTGTCATCTCAATGGACGTAGCCTTCGGCTTTCAACCATCTCTGGTGGCCGAGGCTGAAGAACAGGCTCAAAGGATTCAAATGCCTGAAGAACTTTTATAAGAGTATAAGCAGTTCTCTAAAAAACAGGTAACCTACAAAATAGATGGGATGTACACTACAAGAAGCAACTAGAAAGGAGCTTCCAACATCAGACCAATACTTTGGAACCTCATACCAGATACAGCTCTGAACTTGAACTTTCAGGACACAGCAAAAATCTAAGCCTATGCTGACGATTTCATCCTGATAATCAAAGGTGGCAACTGCAGCATCATAGAGATAAAGGCCATATACGCCTTAGATGTCCTCAAACAATGGAGTGAAAAATACAAACTAAAATTCAGCAACTCCAAGAAATGGTTGATCCTCTTTCCAAAAGGAGCCAAAATAAATTTGAATCTGCCAAGCATTAAATGGCAGGAGGTTCCAAATGCAGGGCACACCAAGGTATCTCAGCTTTGGCCTGGATAAGACAAAGTAGTCAATGGTTTACACAGAATACAGAGTACCACTTGAAACTTGACAGGTAGAGTAATAAAAGAACTAAATCTGAGGGCCATTGAAAGGATGGTGCTTACAGTAGCTCAGTCTGGATGACAGGCATGGCAAAAGTATGCCAGAAACTGAACCAGATCCACAGAATAGCATTAATAAAGATAACAATGGCCTTCACAACTATGTCAATGGCAACCCTGCAGATACTCGCAGGCACAATACCACTCAGTCTAAAGGCACACTTCAAAAAGACCAACTATAGGCTTTTCTACTACTGTAAGGATGCATAATAACAGACAAAAACAACACAGAACATAAGACGTCAGATCACTATCCATCCATGGTTCTAAATATCAAATGGACAAAAAACAAAAACAGATAATTACACCAATGCTTCTAAAATTGATGATCAGTTGGAGCAGCTTTCGTGGTTTACCATAATAAAGAAATTTACTGCACAAACTTTAGATTAAATATTCATGCCATGGTTTTTCAAGCAGAATCGTATGCCTTAAGGTTTAAGTACAGTAACCCTATGAGCAAGAGACAGGAACAACCGTCACACTGACAGCATGAGTGTATTTCAAGGTATAAACAAAAAGGTACAAATGAGGTTCACATAGAAACCCTTAAAGAAATAGTATCAACTCTCAGAGGAAGCCACTCACAATCAACCTCAACTGATAATCAAAGGTGGCAAATGGTGAGTTTGTGGACAAATGGGTTTGGTATGGAATGAGAGAGCTGACGAGCTCGCTACACAGGCCATGGAAAAAGATGAAATAAATACAAAACTACCAATATTAGCAGAAGTGGCAAAAAGGTATATGAAGAAAGTCCCTTAGAAGAAGAGCAAAATTGGTGAAACAATGAAGAAACAGAAGAGTACACACACCACACCTACCCTAAATGTAAGCCTGAAAAGACTAAAGACCAATCACAGGCAAACAGAATTGCAGAAAGCTCCTGGCTTACTACATCTGCTTTCTGAACAGATATGTTAAGTGTGTGTGTGTGTGTGTTTTTCCAGGTTCAAGTGCAGACGTCATATGCTACATTAGAAACTGTTTAAACACCAGGAAGCTTTAGAGAAAAGCATTTTCCTTTGGACTTCCTTAATTTCCATGTGTCAGTACTCTTCAATGATTACTATTGTGCTGAAAGTATAACAGTGATTTTGCCACAAGTAAACAAAGACCTGCAGATCATTGAAGCTGAAGACTTAAGTGCAACAGGTCTGTGAAACGGGCAAAGACATCATAAGCTTTGTCCCACCTTAATTGTAAATAGTATGTGTTCTACTAATACATGTTTTTGATTGCTACTAACAACATTTTTCAACTGAGAGCATTGTTAATCTCATCATTAAATCTTTATGCAACGTAAGTGTTTTAATAAAGGGCATAGTCTATAAAAAAGCAGTTAAAATTAATAACCTAACTTCCTAGTAAAAGATGACTACTAGCATAATGATCAGGACGATTTACAACCTTGTGCTGCCTTCTTCTTGAATGCTGGAACAGGTTAGTGTCCCAAACACTACTTATACATACATGTATGAACAGCAGGGCATAAAAAGATAAAGCTCAGTATAACTTGAAATAAAATAATCCATAAAAATAAAACCATTTCTTGCTGAAACATTTTTAATATTTTCCAATAACTTTAAAATTTATTAAATTGTAACATAATAAAGAAATTATAATTACGCAGGAGAAACTACAAAAAAAAAAAAAAATAAAAAAAAAAAAATAAAAAAAAAAAAAAAAAAAAAACGTAGCATTAACTAAAATTTACTTGATACTCAAAATTATATATTTACACAATGTACAGCAATCCTCTATGCCATGGAGGTTTCCTATCAAAATAGGCACTAGGGACTTGAGCAAAATCCAAAAACATGCAGAGACATGGAGCTTCAATTAAAGCTATAAGAACCCCATTCAACCTATTTAAGATAGAGAAACATATAAGAAAACTGTTTAATATGAGCAAAAAGAGAATAATTATGAAAGTGCAATCAAACATTTAATAAAATAATTCAACAAACATTTAAAATAGAATACAGAAAAAAAACTTTTATTTTGCTTCGAAAAATATTGAGGATAGTATACCTAAAGATTAAAAACAAAAACTTTTTCAATTTGGTATTTATTCCCAATAAAACTATCAAGTTATTCCACATATAATGCAGTATTTTCAAATATTTAAACTCATTATATGGCACGGTTACTTTTATCCAACCACAAAATTTGTTTTCATTTAAAATGCATGGTTTTATTCATTATACTTTCCTCTGTTATTTTCTTAATTTAATAGAAATCATTTTCATTATTGGTAGGTTAAGATAATAAAGTATTCTGCACTTACATACACATATGAGATAAAATTATCAGTCATGTAAACTTAGCTGATTTTCAAATTCTTAAAGTGCATATTAAAGCACATATAACTACTATAAATTATGGTTCTTCAAGATGAATATGGAAAAAAGAACAGTGAGAATGTTTCATTAACTCTGGAGTTGCCTTATTAAAAAATTTCATACATGGATACATGAATGACAGATGCTGTGCTAATTGAGCTAAAAATGCTGCAAATTATAATAACTACAGTTAAACTTCTTATATCATCTACAGTTGAGATATAAGAAGTTGAGATATAATTCAGTTGAGATATTTTACATATTTTTGAGAGGAACAAAATTTTTTTTTACATATTTTATAAAATTCAAAACCCAAGATCATGAATATAAATTTAGAACAAAAGCATTTAATGAAAACTTTGAAGGCTGGAGATAAAGATGTCATGACAGCTGCCGTATGAGTTAAATCAGTTAGATGGCTGTTAAGCCAAGGGAACTTGGCTCAACAGCCATCTAACTGACGGAAAACTGAATTGTGACCAGTCAAGAGAGTTCCTACTGAAATATTAATCATCACATTTTTAGCAAACCTAAATCTCCATTAGGGACAGGGATCTAAATCAAAATCCTTCACCATTATGATCAATAATGTTCATACCATATTCTAGATAAAAGTAATAATCATCTGCTTCAAATATATCATCTTTTCTGAAATTAAAATTTTATTTTCCAATTAAAAATATGAACCAGTTAAACAAAATAATCTATATTTTAATTGTCTAGTAAGAAAACATTTAATTATCAAGTGTAATCCCACTTTTAGATGCATTCTGCATTGAATGCAGCCAAGAATTTGGTCCTCAAACCCTACAGTTTCCAAAAAGGCCATGAGTATGTGATATTTTCTTGATTATAATTCCAAAAATGACTCTCTTACTTTGTACCTTGAAGCTTCTTAAGTGTCTGAACATATTTCAAGATGCATGTTTGTGTACTTAAAGGTGTACTTAAAGGTATCACAACAAATATTTTTGAGAAATATATATACATAATCAATTTCTAGGTAAAGAAAAATAGTGGTAAATAAAAATTAAGGTTATGTATAAGAGGGGATCCTTATTATCCTATCTAATGAAAAAGTCACAGAATTAATCCTATTGTACAAGAGAAAATGAGTTGAAACAACTTAAAAGTATACTGAAGATTAATAAGTATTCTTGAAATTTGCACAATGTTGACAAAAGAAGAATATTATTAATATCCCTTGTTTAACATTTCAAACAGAACTTGTCAAGGGACTTGTCAAACAGAACTTGTGTTTGAAACTTTAATTTGGTTGAATTAATGAGTTCAAAATACATGTTTCATTCCTCTGGACAATTTGAGACTTAAAACAGTTATGCTCCAAATTTGTAACAATTATTTCTATTATAATCATAATGACAGGTCTGAAATAAGTTCAGAGCATTCCCTATTATTATATAAAGAAAAACTTATTATTTCTTTATATATTTAATTAATATTTATCTCTTTTTTATTTATATATATTCTTTATATATTTTATTAATATATAAAGAAAACAAGAAGAATATATATGCAAGATAGAAAATATACAACCATAAATTTTAGCAATAGCTGTTATCTTTCCAGACATTAAGTTTGCCTATTCAGCTCAGATAGTATGTTGTAGATCACTAATAACAGAAAAAGATAATGTTAGATTTTGCCTTATGTTCTATTAGGATTCCATTGGCAATTCTTCTTGATTTTGATAGAGGATGCAAATAAAACCAGGGAATGACTATCTATATAAATCATCAAAGGACAGGTTAGCTTCGACAATGAAAAATAAGTCAACATCTTGAGAATGAGTGACATTCATAGTCTGGGTCTTCTTATTCTGAGAAAGATTAATGTCAATTCAAAACATATTAAAAAAAAGGGGAGTAAGAGAGAGACATTTAATATATAAGAAGTATTTAAACCTTAAAACAGCAAAAATTTTATAATACAAGCAATTAGCCAAAATATGTTTCAATAAATCTATGAAATTTGATTAAAGATAAATATTTATGGGATACTTACATTTGTAAAATTCCAGCTAATAAACAACGAGGTGTAATTGTGATACATGCCATTGCACCTAATGCAAGGGCAGCTGTTTTAGGAAACAATAAAAACATCCTTAGTCCATAAACATATACATATATATATAAAGTACATATATATTTTTAAAAAATAATTAATATGGAAGTATAACCACAGAAAGCCCAGCAAATGTAAACAATGCCAAAAATAGCAATAACAGTTTCCAGTTAGTAAACCTCTAATTGTGCTTGTTCAGAGGTAGCAACTATTCCTTTTTCCCTTTCTCTAATTCTTATTTGCACATTATAGTATCACATTCATCATTCATCTCTGTATGTGTAAATTATAATTTACTTATTTATAATTATTGTGTCCAATTTCCATGCTAACTTTTCTAAAAATAGTCATCACACAGAAAATCTAGCAGATATTAATTTAGAAGTCAAACAACAAAAATTAGCGTTATATTTTCAAATTTTCACAGAACTAGTTTCAATGGTTTTACCGAACCATCATCCTCAGTTGCAAAAGGACAAATGAACGAGATAAGATATAATGATAAGATAAGACAAGAAAGCTCAGACAGGAGACAAGCTACTGGCACCATCTGTTGATAAAAACAGAACTAAAATATAATTTCTTTAAAGGCTGAAGACAAAGATATATTAGAATTAGGGTCGTTAACTAGAACAGAAAGATTTTTTTGAATGTGAATGCCTCTAGAAAATTTAGTTCACCAATGGACGATGTTTTTTGAATAATTTTGGCAGCAGAAAAATTGAGAGTGATTTTCAAACCAACAATGTTCGGCAACAAGAGACTTCTGTGTTTCCTTTTTTCTAACATATGCCTCATGTTCCTTGATGCAAAATTTTAAGGCTCTCCTAGTTTGGCCAATGTAAATTAAACCACACTGGCAAGGAATCCTGCAAATACCCCAGGAATTCATATCCGGAATGGTGCCAAGTAAAAAATCAAGATGTAAAAAATTGATCCCCAATTACATTAAGTGTAAACGTAAAAAATAAGTATTCATTAAGTGCAAATGTAAAAAATAAATACAGTTCAAAAGTCTTTAATCAGGACATCCATAATCCGGAATGATCTATAATCCGGACCTCAAAGCTATAAACTTTCTGTGCATGCGTAAACGCAATATGCATGCGCATAATGCGTTTACACATGCGTTTAATGCATAACGGACGGTACAAGCTAAGCTAAATTTATCTATTTCAGTTAATGTTGCAGATTACATTGTTCCTTAATCTTCTAATTGGATCCAGCTTATTATTTTTTGCAGGCTGTTAGAGCAATTTTATAAAAGTAAGTTTGAACTTTCAATTATGTCAAAAAGAATTTCCGATGGAGCTGCCAAAGGATCTACAAAGCGAAAGCATGTTTCGATGCCCATCAAATAAAAAGTGTAATTGCTGCAAAAAATGGATAAAGGCATATCCTTTGTTTCTCTAACCATTCCAAAATCTGTTTATCAATTTCAAGCTGCTCTGCGCGGGGGGGGGGGACGTCACGGCAGTGCACAATGAACTGGAAGTTGATCTGTCAGCACTATCCTTATCTTCAGGGCAGATGTTTTTATTTTATTTGGCTTATAATTCCTTACAAAATGTAGTATTTCATCTTGATGTATTCCATCTTTGATATGATTTAAATAAAATCCATCGTCATTATAAATATCACGAATACACATCAAATAGTTTTCTGGTTGCAATTTTCTAATTTCAACTATGCTTAACGTATGCTTTATGCATGCGCGCGTTGAAAGAAATGTTTAATAAAGTAAACAAATAAATATTTAGCTTTTTTTTTTTTGTTTTTTTGTTTTTTGTAAATTTTGATACCCTTTAGATCATAATTGCTCTTTATTTCATAAATTACGGTTTCATATTTTTAATTTTATAATTTCCGCACGTCATCTTACTACATTTAAACTGATGATCCATAATCCGGAAAAACCGATAATCCCGAATCGGCGAAGTCCCAACGAGTCTGGATTAAAGACTTTTGACTGTATTAGTAATAAGTAAGTAATTTCCTTAAGTGTAAATGTAAAAAATTGATCCCCAATTTCATTCAAATGGAATCTAATCAAAAACCTTCTAGTCGCGTTTCAAGAATTCTGTTAAACTGCAATCTAGCCTTACTTCGGACTATCATAAGGAATACACATCAACAGTTATCCAAAATTGAACATGAGCTCTATAAGCTTCATCTGGAACTGGCTAATTCATATCCAAAATTCACTGCCTTTGAACAAAAGTCTTGGTCTAGAACGGAGGATGCAGTTAACCATCATAAAAACACCCTTGCAGTTAAATTCGAAAAACTCCTTTTACAGTCTTCCAGTTCAAGTAGTTCCAAAAATTTTCCCAATGTAAACATTAAGCGAATAGTTAATACTTCTAATGGATAAGACCACTTACATCGATGGTGTCACTAAACTCTTAGACGAAGGACCATACAATCTGATCCCTAAAGATCCTTCCCCTTCGGGCCTGTCAAAAATAAAAACTGCGATCAAATCTTTACAAATCATTTCAAGCAACTTAAAACATTCACTTATCTGATCTGTTGCGAATTGTGCCAGATTTTATGCTCTTCCCAAAATTCATAAAAGTGGTATTTCTTTCTGCGCTATTGTATTAAATTTAGGTACCGCCTTGTATCTGTTAGCTAATCATTTAGTTTCTAGATTTTCACCTCTATTAGACAATAACATTTACACCAGGGTTTCTTAAACTGTGGGTCGCGGCCCCCTAGGGGGTCGCGGTATCTGCAGCAAGGGGTCGCCAAAAATTTTAGCAGTTTTGATATTTCTTTAAATTTTTATAATAATTTTACAATTGCCAAATATTTTTACACAATGTATCTGAAAATAGAGACAAAGACAATAGAGACAAAGAAAAAAAAAAACGAAAACGTTTCGACGCATTCTTTTTATAGTATAAACGCTCATTTTCCTTGTTTTGCACGTGACGCTGTCTTTTCGTCTGCTACTTATTTAAAATTTTCACACTGTTCTATGTCTTAAAATTAGAAATTAAACTGCAATAGTATATTACAGCACAAGTGAAAAAATTGACAGTTTCACTCATGCGTGTGTCGGATTTGTGCAATAATTATGGGGTTCCACAAAATTTTTGTAAATATTATGGGGTACTGGGGGGTCGCGAAAAAATCTCAGTGATAAAAAGGGATCGCGACTGAGAAAAGTTTAAGAAACCCTGATTTACACCATAAAAATTTCAACAGAGTTTGTAAAAAAGACAAAGGTTAAAAACATTTCTCCTAGAAATTTACTCATGGTTTCTTTTGATGTAAAATCATTATTCACCAATGTTCCAGTGGATGATGCATTCAGATGTCTAGAAACCAGACTTCGTGAATTTCATTTCTCTTGCATCGAAATTGATGAGCTAATTTCTCTCACTTAACTCTGTTTGAAAAAACACATTTTGTTTTCCAAAATAAATATTACAAGCAAACTGAGTGATTAGCCATGGGAAGCCCCCTCAGTCCCATCCTGGCTGATATCTACATGCATTATTATGAATCAAAATTGTTTGAAACTTTAAACTTCCTGGTATGGTTCCGCTTTGTAGACGATACTTTTACCCTGTTTGATAGTAATAAAGATTATTTAAATAAAGTTCCTTCAACAATGCATTCCATTGATCCTGCTATACAGTTCACTTTTTAACTTGAGACTTGAAATTCTCTTCTGTTTCTCAACAATCTGGTCACATGTAACAAATCCAACTTCCAATACTATGGTTTACCGTAAACTTTCATCGGTTTGCCTTCCACCACACTTTAAATCGTGTCATCCGACTAAACCAAAGTTAGCTTCATTTTATTCCTATGTTGTGCATGCTATTCAAGTTTGCTCCTCCAAACTATCCCTTGATGAAGAACTAAATTATTTGAAAGTAATAGCTATTGACAGGGGCTTTTCACCCAACATTATTAATCAAGTAGTTAAAAAATTCTTATATCAACACACCAAAAGACACACTCTTGTTTTAGGAGATTATAAAATTTCTGTTATCATTCCTTCAATTAGCTACATTCAATAATCAATTAGCTACATTCACTTCCAAAAGTTAAGCACGGAGAGGAAAATGCTAATTTTCGGAAGCCAACCAGAATTGAAGAGGATGCAATTCGCTACAGAGGTAGATAGAAGTATGCAAATATGTTAGGTAACAGCCAATCGTGCTTTCATGACAAGAAATATGCAAAAAAGGCAGTCTTATAAGCAGCTAGCTTTATCAAGGGTTACAGAAGTTGATTGTCAGTGCTGATAGAAGGTGTTTAAAACTTTCATACAATTTGTTTTCAAGACATACCTGTTTCTATGACTTCAAGAAGACGAATGGAAGATTCTGAGCATTGGCATGCTGTGGGGTGCACTGAAGCAGGACAGTCGATCACAGTTGTTGCTCTTTTCTTCGGCGTTCATCATTGTGTAATTTCACGTTTATGGAAACAATTCCAAACCATACAGACAGTTGTCCGAAGGCACGTAGCTGGTCGCCCAAGAGCTACTTCCCCCATGGAAGATCGATATATTGCTATTGTAGCCAAGCAGAATCGCAGAGCGACCTCCACATGTGCGACATCTATGGTTACAGCGCCCATTGGTAAGGTGATATCTGCAGCTACTGTACGCCAAAGATTACATATGAGTGGACTGTACGCCTGGGTACCTCGAGTTTGTGTTCCTCTATCTCGTTCCAATCAAAAGGGGCACGATTACAGTGGTGCCGGGAACATGTCAATTGGAATGTATCTCACTGGGGCAATGTCATGTTTACTGATGAGTCAAGATTTGCTCTGGAGCGAGATGACAAGTGTATAAGGAATATGGCGTGAAACAACAAACACACTAATCAGGTCCCAAAACATCACCCGAACATCACACATTCTCGAGGCGGAAGCATTATGGTGTGAGCAGGGATTTATTTCATTAGGATACCGCACCGACCTGCACATCTTTAAACGAGGGTTCTTTGACGGCTGTCTGGTATCGAGATGGAAGTCCTAGAACCC